TAAACATTTACAGCCTTGGAAACCCTGTACAGGGTCGCTATGGGTCGGAACCGACTCCACGGCACTTAACAACATACGTATTTGGTAAGTGTTACCGGTTTCAAGTCATCGTGACCCTGTATAGGGTTCCTCAGGAGCAGCTGGTAGGCTTGAACCACTGACTTTATGGTTAGCAGTTCAGTGCTTATCCTACAGAGCCACACCAGGATTCCTTATACATATAAACAAGTGACTTAAAACATGTTTGTGGGGAAACTTCCATTACCTTTTAATTCCATATCCCCCAAAACTTCTTGAAACTCCCTTGTATGCATTTTACTCACAGCGGCCCTTTAGGACGGGGCAGAAGTACTCCATAGTGTGCCGAGGCTGTAAAATACTTCTGGAAGCAGATCTTTGTCCTGTTCCTACCACTGACCTTTCAGTTAGCAGCCAAGCACTTGACCATTGTGCCACCAGGCCTTCATAAAGATTACGGCCCAGGAGACCCTATGGGGCAGTTCTATGCTGACACAAGGTGGCTTGCCAGATGGAACGGACTCAATGGCATCTGACAATATATACGAGGGGGCTTCAAAAAGTTTGTGGAAAATGGAATGTTTTTTCTCCTTTTCCTAATGATTATTTTACTCTCAAAAAAAGGTCTTGATGTAAATTCACAAGTACTGATGACCACAATATTGTAGCTAAAACACCCAATCAGTGACAATCAGCAAGTATAAGAACATCAACAGCAGTGAAAACAAGAACACATGTTGTTAGGTCATGCAGATGAAACTGTGACTCACGGCTTCCCTGTGACTGGGTCATCCATCATGACAGCTCTGACCAGTGCCGTTAGCAGACTGAGTAAATTCCTCACCCTGTGTACATGTGTGGATACGTGTAAACTGGGCTTAGGAAAAGGGGTTTTGTTTAACTACAGTTAATATTTTTATACAGAATAGTAAATTGCTACTGAAATACTGCACAAAAGATACATTTTTTTCTTAACTTTTTCATGTGAGTTGAGTTTACAGACAAGATCATCAGTTTCAGTTTTACATACAACAAACCATACACTTTGTTTCATCTCAATGAGTTCAGTCCCCTCCAGGCAACAACAGTTATCCAGCTTCCTGCCTGTGGTTCTGTTTCACCCTCCTTCCTATTTCTTCTCAACTTTGTCCTTAGGAGAATGTTGCCCTTTTGATTTTGAGTGATTGACCATTCCATGGTGAGCAGACCTTGTTAGTGTTGTCCTCCCTATATACCTAGTGTTGTCCCCCCTGTATACCTATCTATAGTGTTGTCCCCCCTATCTACTGCTTGAGTGAAAATTGGGTCCCAAGGGTGAGCTCCAGGAATTTTTTTGAAGCCCCACAGTGGAGATCTTCGGTGGTACTGCTCAGTAAGAACAAATGTTTATCCAGAACCATCTGGTGTGTCACCTGGATTGGATTGATGAGTGATTGGATCAGATCACATCTAATGATGGTATTCTTTGCTTGCTCTTAGCTGCGGGATCATGGCGACAGAGAGCATGGATAAGTACACAGGCGGCATCTATGCGGAATACAAGGAGGAGCCCTTCATAAACCACATCGTCTCGGTGGCTGGCTGGGGCGTCAGCAATGGCACTGAGTACTGGATTGTCCGGAACTCGTGGGGAGAACCATGGGTAAGAACTGCACTTTCTTCAGCTCACATCTAGAATTCTGGTCCTCTCACATCAATGGAAGGAGCTCTGGTAGCATAGTGGTTACGAATTGGGCTGCCGACGTCAGGGGCAGGAGTTTGAAACTACCAGCTGTTCCGCAGGAGAAAGATGAGGCTTTCTGCTCCTGTAAAGATTTACAGCCTTGGAAACCATGTACAGGTTTGCTATGAAGTCGGAACCAACTCCACGGCACATACCAACAAAAACACGTCAACGGGGAGAATCATGGGTGAGGTCTTCCCTTTCTTCAGTTCACATCTAGAGTTCTGGTCCTCTCACGTCAGTGGGGAGAACCACGGCTAAGGCCTCCACTTTCTTCAGCTTAGGTCTAGAATTCTGACCCTCTGGGTTCAATGGGGAGAAATGGGTAAGGGCTCCACTTTGTTCAGCTCAAGTCTAGAATTCTGACCCTCTCGGGTCAATGGGGAGAACCCATGGGTAACCACTTTCGAAAGCACACGTGCAGAATGCCGATGCTATCTCAGTACTTCTGTTGACCTTATGGCTGGGAACCCCAGCACTGAGAGAGGGGCATCCTGCTCTGGTCTGGTGGCTCTCGACCAGGGTACTTGTACTTTGGGTTGGGAATCCCTGTTGGGGGACTTTCCTGTGCATTTTAGGGTATCTAACAGTGTCCTGGAGTCCTGGTGTGGCACTGGACTGCAGTCAGTTTGAACCGCAAGGTCGGCATTTCAAGCTCACCAGCTGCTCCTTGGAAACCCTATATAGGGTCACTATGGGTCGGAACCGACTCGACGGCACTACCAACAGCAGTGTCCTGCGCCTCTACCACTGGCTGTTAGTAGTCATTGTACCACCCGGCCTCACTCCCTGTTGTGACACCAAGTGTCTTCAGACTTTGCCAGATCCTTCCCAGGCTGCAGAATGAGACCTTTCAGGGTTTCAGTCACGTTTCAGCCGTTACGTCCACTCAGTCTCTGGCTGTCCTGCGTATAGACAAGATTCTTGTGTGTCATTTTTTCAAAAGTACTTTCAAGTTGGGTCGTACACTCAGGGGAGATAATTAGCTGTCAGGGTGGAATTTCTGAGTCCTGGTTCTAACCATTAACAGCATTGGCACAGACAGGTGCACTGTGGAAAGTGCTTAACGTGGGTGATGAAATGCCAATCCTATATGTGCAGTGACTCCAAGCGAGCTGTTAATAGGGAGATAAGTCATCCGGTCTTAAAAAATCAACATGCTTCTTCACATGAATTAGCTTTTGGCAACAGGGCCATCCACCCCTCATGTTAAATATTAAGCCAAGTGATGTTTCTGAGTTGAGGTCATGGGAAAGGTCAAAGGGGCAGCTGAGGAAGCCACGTGGAGGTGAGAGTTGGAAGCAGAGGTGGTAGGGTCTCAGAGGGAGGAAACCCTGAGGTCACCTGACGGTCCCATGTCTCCCAACAGGGCGAGAGGGGCTGGATGAGAATTGTCACCAGCACCTACAAAGGCGGAAAGGGCAACTTATACAACCTAGCCATCGAGAAGTCCTGCGCTTTCGGGGACCCCATCGTCTGAGCCCTTGGTGAAGGCACGTGGCTCTGTGACTCTACTGGGGTCCTGGCAGTAGGCACACTGGGCTGCTACTGCCTGGTGTGAAGGGACTGGGGGTAGCCACGTATCTCATGGCTGAGTGTGGGGTGACTGAGTTCCTATAACCTGAAGCGGACAGTGCTGAAACCTGATGGAATGTTTGCGGAGCGGAAGGTGGGGTCTGCGGACAGGAAGGAGCTGGTGTGACCGCGGTTTTCTCCAGCACGTGGCTGTGTTCTCTGTCTGGCAACTGTGGTCGGTAATGTGGCATTTACCTGGGAATTAGCTCAGCTTTATCACCAGTTCTTAGCTCATCCTGGATCAACAGGAAGAGGGATGGCAACTTTTGATCCCAAGTGACAAATAAAGCCTTCACACTCAAGTTGGTCTTGTGTCCATTATTCACACCAGCCAGGCCTGTGTGTCCCGTTCACACACGCTGCACCTGCACATGCCTTGTTCACATAAGTTGGGCCCATGTGTACCTTGTACATACAGGAGCTGGGCCTGTGTGTCTCCTGTTCACACCAGCTGGGACCATGTGCCCCTGTCCACAAGAGCCAGGCCCACGTGTGCCGTTCACACCAGCTGGGCCTGCACATGCCTCATTCACACCAGCTGGGCCCGCATGTCCTGTTCACACCACCTGGGACCACGTATCCCCGTTCATGCAGGAGCTGGGTCCATGTGTCCCCTGTTCACACCAGCTGGGCCCACACATGCCTCATTTACACAAGCCAGAGTAGAACAGCCAGACAGACACCTTCAATCCAACAGATGCTGTTTCTTTTAAATCACTTTAATTGAACAATAGCAATTACAATGAAACACCAAGGTACTGATTTGCTTTTCAGAAACCTTAAGGCAGTTCCTTTCACCACGCCCCCACCGGTGTCCTGTGAGGAACAAGTACCCGTCCCACACCAGGGAGATGGCACAAGAGAAGGGGCGTGGGTGAGGGCTGCCTTCCTCCTCCCAGAGTTCAACCACAGTCTCCTGACAGGTTTCTCCCGATGGTTCTGCCCAGCGTTGCTCAGTTCACCATGATGAAGTTGGATTTGCAGTGAGCTGTACCCAGGGAAAAAGTCAGCGGGTTAGGACCGGGAGGTGAGGGCGGTAGCTGAGGGTGAGGACAGCACATGTGCCACAGCCTTACCTATGAATTCCGTGACAGGGTCATGCTCGCCTTCAGTCTTGATGGTGCCCGCAATGCTGTCATTCTCCAGGATGGGGAGGAAGAGCTGCACAAAGTCGGAGGTGTACGGAGGCGCGATGACGTCCAGCACCTAGGGGCCAGGGGGTGCTCAGCTGCTCCTTTTCCCGCAGCAGGCTGTGCGGGCAGCAGCCGCAGGGAGAGAACTGCCCACCCCCTTCTTGGGCTTCCCAGGTGGCTATGCTGCCTCAAACTCCAAGACCCCAGGAACCAATGACAGGGTGGGCGCTGCGCTCAGGCTGGGTAAACAGGGCTCACTGCCCCCACGGCAGTCAGAAAGTACGTGCCTCACACCCGTGACACTGAACGAGTGCAGTGCTGACCTCAGTGACAAAGTAGCGGATGAGGGAGATGTCTGTATCAAGCTTCTCCAGACACTTGCGGATGTAGCTAACCACGGGCAGGACGCAGCCCCGGCTCAGCAGGTGAACCATCCTGTCCAGGAGCGTCTTCTTCAACTCAAGCTACAGGCATGCGGGGAGGCGGAAAGCTGCTAGAGCGGTACCCGGACCCCCAGCCCCCCAGCAGCCTTGGGGCTCCCCCGCGCACCTGCTCCATCACATCCAGCTGGGAGTGCTCGGTCTCAAAGAGCTTGACCAGCAGCTGCAGAACCTGGGGGTGTAGGAGCTGGTGGCAGGTGCTGATCTACAAAGAGGCCGGGAGTGTGGCTGAGCAGGGAGCCTCAACCCTCAGGGCACAAGCCAGATGGCCCTGAGACCCCTGCCCAGAACGGGTCAGTGTTCAGGATGTTCCTCATCCTTTCAGAAACTCTTGGTGAAATCCGAGACACTGACAGACAGTGAAACTAGTTCGTTCAGAAGAAAATGCTTATTTTGGGTGCAATGGCCACACTGGCAACACCTGGCTAACCAGTGCACACACAGAGGGCACTGCGGATGCCCCACCGCTCACCTACCTCATCCAGCAGCGCCAGGTGGACGGGGGTGTGGTCCGTCTGCAGCTGAAAGTACCTTGGTTCTGACACTGTCCAGTCCACCCACTTCAGGACACCCATGGCCACCACTGGGAACCTGTAGTGCCCAAGGCAAAACGCTGCGTCCCTCAGCCATGGAAATGGTATGGCCCAGGCTGATGGAGCACGGGGCAGGAAGGCTGCCATGCACACAAGCACACGCCTTTCCAGTCAACACAGTCTAGTAACACTATCGTCCCCAAAGAACCTGAATTCAATTAGCCGCTGGTCACTTGAGACCACTTTACTGACTCCCAAGAACAGATAGTTGATGCAAACCCTCAGTGGGCTTGGTGCACTGACTTTACCTTCTTGGTCCCTAAGTGCTTTTTGTCCCTCGTATAAGCGAAGAGGAGAAAAGTTTGAATACCTGAGCACACACTGTAGTGTTTACATGGAACATCTACTGACCTAACACACAAGCACACAGCAGCCCCGGCTCAGCAAAGTTTCATCAGACTCACACTATAAATAATCCCCCTGTTCCTTCACACGGATCTGCAATTCTGGTTGCTCTTCCTCTGATCTAGTCCTATTTGTGAGGGTACACCTGCGGTGGAACCATGAACATTCTCCCTGCACATTTGAACATGTAAGCACACTATAATGCCTAAGGCCCTCTGAGGTGTTAGGTTCTGTCAGTAGGAACACCCACACCTCGTCCTCTGCCCCCTCGTGCCCTCTGCTCACCTGATACACTGGTAGAGTGTGCTCAGCTCGGCCACCAGCTCCGAGGCCCCTTTGTTCTCATTGCAGCACAACTTGTGGACGGTCTCAACAGCTTTCGAGGTAGACTTCAGCTCATCCTTGTTGATGCTGACTCGCTTGTTCTGAAACACACCCACAGTCAGCGCCAGGCGGAGCACACACCTGTGGGCAGGGGTCCCCCTGGGCTGCTAACGCAGAGCTCAGTGGTTTGAAGCCAGCAGCTGCTCCATGGGAGAAGAGTGAGGCTGTGTGCTTCTGTGCAGGCCTCCAGTCTGGGGCTCTCCTCGGTCCTGTGGGGTCACTATGAGTGGAAATCCACTTGACGGTAGTGGGCTTGGGCCTGGGCACTGAGCAAGCCCATCTCCCTCTCTGATGCCAGGACTCAACTTCATTGACATCACAGACCCAGAGTGTCTAGGAATGAAAACCCAGTAGCCATGGCATCTGCCTGTGGCTTTACCTAGTACTGTTGACTGGTTACTACTACCGTCCCCACACATTCCTATTCATCGTGACTCTCCATGGACTCAGGCCTTCTTACAGTCCCCAAACTCCCAAATACACACTTTCTACCCTGCTAGTGGCTTCTTCTGAATTCCTAGTGTGGCGATGCGGGTTAATGTGCTGGACGGCAAGGTCAGTGGCTCAAGCTCACCAGCCACTTCTCAGAAACCCAATATAAGGTCACTAAGAGTCAGAACCGACTCGACGGCTCTTTACCACAAGTACCTTCTTCCAGGTCTCCAGCACACTTGCTGCGTAGGCCAGGATGTGGATGTACTTGTGCTTGTGGTCCTGGTTGATCCTGGCCCCCGGTTTGAAGAGGGACTGCATGAACAGGTCCAAGAAGGCCGGCACGCGGATCTGCAGAGACAGAGCCACGGAGTCTGGACAGCCAGCCCTGGCTGGGCTCTGTGTTCAGTGCCTCAGGGCTGCAAGGACCGTGGAAAGGCAGCAGAGGGACATGCACGTTCCCAACAGCCCTGCCCATCCCAACAATGATCCTCCGTTGGGGGAGAGAAGACCTGATACAAAGGGGACACTGAGCTTCCGTGAAGAGTGATGGAAATTCTGAGAATAGGTACTGGAGTCTCGCTACAGCGCTGTAAGGTCAGCACTGGACTATGAACCACAAGGCCAGCAGTGGTTCCTCGGAAACCCTATACAGGACCACTGTGAGGCGGAACTGACTAGACGGCACTTCTTGACAACAATGGTAACGGCTGGGCATGATACATGTAAGAACGTCACTGGGGGGCCACGTGATGACTATAAAACCCACCACCGTTCTGCTACCTTCATATTTGCCCCGATTGTGGAGGAGGGCGGAGTGACTCACCAGCTCCACAGGCGGCGGGTCCATGCTAGTGAACATCTTGAAGAGGACAGTGATGTCAGCTGGGTTCAGGGCGCCTTTGGACAGCATGGCTCCCAGGGCCTGGCACGCCCGCGGGTAGGAGGCGGCTGTGCCCAAGGCCAGCGTGATCTGACTTGCGTCGTGGCCCCTGTGACAGCCACACACACCATCACGGTGGAAGGAGCCCTTTCCCGGCTTGGCCTGTGCTGCTCTGAGCTGCTGGCTGGGCCCCTCGGTTTTCATTTTTCTGTCACTAGCTGACCCAGGAATAGCCAACTAGGAACCAGTGATTTAACACAGCTTGTTGGTGTTGTGAAGTGCTGTCGAGTTGGTTCTGACCCATAGCGACCCTGTATAGGGTTTCCAAGGAGCTGCTGGTGAGCTTGAACCTTGCAGTTCAAATGGCTTTGCAGTCTGGCGCATTAACCCACAGCGCCACACCAGGGCTCCAACAGAGCTTACAGACTCCATCAAAGGCACCGCAGACTTTTAAACATCTTATTACGACTCCACTGGACTGCTGGTGGATCCACACTGGACTGTGAACCACAAGGTCGGCGGTTCAAACCCACCAGCCGCTCCTCAGAAACCCTCTCCAGGATGGCTATGAGTCGGAACCAACTAGACAGCACCTAACTACGACAGCAATGAAGACTCTGCTAATAACAGAAAATGGAGCCAGTAGCACAACTTAGTGCACAGTTGCTAACTGAAGATCAATGGCTCCTTGGGAGAAGAACGTGGCAAAGTGCTCCCAGAAATATTACAGCCCGGGAACCCTTATGGGCCAGCTCTGCTTTGTCCTCAATCGGGCCACTATGAGTCAGAACTGTCTCGGTAGCACTCACAACAGTGGTTCCCAGTTGAGCTCATGCGGGTTTGTGATATCAGTCAGACACGTTTACAGCAACCCCACGCATAACACAGGGAAGCACGGTCTGGCCCTGCACCGACCTCACTTGTTGCTGTAACAATGTGTGAACACAGGTAACAATGAGGTCATGATATTAGGACTCTTACTTCGCACTGATGAGTCCCAATATATGAAAAGGCAGATGTCTGAATCCAGTGAACTGAAGACTAACCAAGCACTTCACCAAAGGTTCCTCAAAGCAACACTTCAACAAGCAAGCTTTCCCCAGCAGCTAAAAGCCACCTGACTCCCGGGCTCCCAGATGCAAGGATGTTGGGTGTGGTGGACGGGGAAGGGGAGGGCTCACTTCTCCTGAGCACAGCGCTGCACTTCCTGGGCGACCCTGCGCACTGCCGAGCCGCCCTGCTCCTCCCGGGCCAGCACCGACATCATGGCCTGAGCAAACAGGTACGTGTGCTCTCCATGGCATACCATCTTCTGAAAAGGCAGGGGGGTGGGGGGAAGTGTGTGTGTGTGTGCACTCGTGCGGCTCACCACCTCCCCCCCCAAGTGAGCATCTCTCCAAGGGTCCTTCTGGCCTGGAGACTCACCACAGAGGGAGCCCCACCCCAGCCCCGCCTAGCCGCCCCCCTCAAGGCCCCAGGGCGAAGCACTCACAGCAAACTCAGGGAGGTTTTTCTCCAGGTTTTCTTCTCCTCCATCCAAGATGGTGGCCAGGGAGGTGCGGAGCACTCGGGAAAACACCTCGAGCTGCTGGCAGGCTGTGGACACACTGGTGATCTCCCCTTGGTACCCGGCGTCCGATATCAGCTAGGGCACACAGGGGAGTTCACTGAGAGGCCGCACTATCCAGAGACAGCTAACTAGATGTGGGAGCCGGGCTGGCTGGGCTGCCCCTAGGCTCTTCATGAGTGAAAGCCGGCCTCCCAACAGGCCTGTCTCAGAACACAGCGGTAGCACGCTCCTGCCCAAATGCAGCCCAAGACACAGACTGAGCACCAAAGAGCAGGTGACAACTGGGAGCTAAATGCAGATGCAGCCTTCCGAGGAGCCCAGTCCCCAAACATGGCCCTGCTCTTGGGAGCCCAGTGCCCAAACATGGCCCTGCTCTCTGAGCCCAGCACGAGGAACCCGGTCCCCAAACACGGCCCTGCTCTCAGAGCCCAGCAAGAGGAGCCCGGTCCCCAAACACGGCCCTGCTCTCCGAGCCCAGCACGAGTAGCCCGGTGCCCAAACACGGCCCTGCTCTCAGAGCCCAGCACACGGCTCACCTTCACTGTGAAGTTGAGCATCAGACAGTCGGGATGGGCTTCCGCCAGCTTGTAGAAGAGGTCTCTCCACGTGGTGTGTGCAATCATCTGCTCAAGCCACGCAGGGGTCTGCCAACACACACAGCAAGACGACAGGTCTGGGTTTGCTTAAGAACCAACAACCATCACGTGCTCCAGCTAGAAGGGTCTCTATGAGCCCCTAGGCTCCATCCCAAGAGGCAGAGTTAAGAGGGTCTGGGCACCTGAAGGATCTCAGAAGATCGGACTCCACGTGAGGGGACTAGATGGCACTTCCAGGAGTGGATGCGAGCCCCCTGGAAGTCCGTGTGTGGTGTGTACACACACACACACACACAGTCCAGCTGTACACCCTTAGCTTGTTATTGTTGAGAATATATAAAGAACAGACATCAACTCAACAATTCCTTCATGTACAATCCAGACACCAACCTCACCCCTCACCCACCCCCCAGTCTCCTCCTTTCCCAGATGGTCCATCTCACTGCTCCCTAAATTTCTACGGAATCCTTCCAGCTACTATGGTAACACAATGCTTACACTACTGCTTGGTTTAAGGTTTAAAGATGAACTCAGGGCAATAGTTTCTGAAGTTCTCTCACTCTCCATGGTTCCAGGAAGTTTGGAGTCCATGAGAGTTTGAAATTATGGTCTGCAATTTCCCATTGGATCCAGATTCATGGAGATGACCGGAATGCTCTCCATGACAAGGGCTCACTGAGACAGTGCAGCTAGTTTGCCCATCACCACAGGTGACAGACATGACCTCCCAGCCCAAGACTGAGGGTCCAGTGCTCAGCCCAGTCCACAGTCCTGCCTCTGACAGAGTCAGGCTTTCCACAAGCTGAGACCTAGAGGACACGGATCCATGATGGAGCCTGGGGCATGAAGACCCCACCGCCCTGCAGACCCTTCCCCAGAGCCACACTGCAGCCCAAGACTCTCTCCTGCCCCTCAGGACGCTCCTGGGGGAATCTCCCCCGCCTTCACAAGGGCCCAGAATGCACGTCTCTCCCTCACATCAGTGGGGAGGGAGGGTGGCCGCCGGCTGCTCCTCCAGCCCACCTCCATACATGGGCTCTCACTACCTGACCAAGGGGGGGCCGGGGGGCTCTGTGCAGTTTCTGTTCCCAGCTGATGGCAGGACCACGTTGTTTGTACTGACACGACATGCCGCACTGGGACCAGGAAGTGGCGAAAGAAGATGTCCCTTACCTCGCCTTCTTCAGTAAAAATAGAATCTGCTTTGCGGGGGTCGAAATGTTTGATGAGTAAACTCTTCAAGTGGTTCTCCACCGTCTCCTGAACCTGTACAGGCTCCACACCTAGAGGGTGACACAGGTGAGATGGGGAAAGGGCCGCCCTCAGCTCCCTGGAGCATGAGACACAGGGTTGGTCGACGTCCTACGTGGGAATGTGAGGCTCCAAAGTGGCTTCTCGTTAGGCCATTGGAGCGTGCATGGAAAGGAAGACTGACCGATTACAGGCAGAGAGAAGACCCAGGGTACACAGAGAAAACCTCCCCAAAGACAAATGGGCAAAGCAGGCAGAGGAATCACAGGCCCACAAGTGGGCACGGGCAGAGGCCAGCCAGTGTTACAGCTTCTCGGAGCTAGGAGGCAGGCCTTGTTAGGATGATGTCACTGCACCCACTCACTGGATTCCCAATAAGACTCTACTTTGATCATATTAGCTCAAAGCCGTAATCACACCCGGCCCTAAATTACCCTCATTTACCGCAGGCCACAACACAGCTCCTGAAAACGGCACACTGAACATACACCGTCTCATCCTGTGGTTCCCCGCCACGGCACAGAAAACAGCTCCAGAAAGACTCGTGTTCTCAGGCCCTCTGTGAACCTCAACTACTGAACCAAGCGAACCAAGCCAAAGTAGCTGGGTAAGCAGTTGACGTACTCAGGCCTCACGTGCCAGGACACCAGAGAAGCCCAACTGACAAGCAGGGGCGCTGACCCCCCGCCACACCTGTCTGGATGAGCCACTCAGCCAGCAGGTTCACCGTCTGGGCCACGGCTGTGTAGTTCTCTGAGAGAAGCTGGATCACGTTCTCGGGAGAGCCGCCCGCCTGAAAATACCTAGAGAAATCGACATAGGAGCTCAGGCCGGTGCCAGGAGGGAGACAGGTAGGTTAGGGAGACGTTTAAGGGGGGCCCCTAGATGCCTTCCTCCCAACATCATGGTACTCTTACTTAGACATAGAGCAAGTTTCCTCCCCACACAGCCCAGTGAGGCCACGGACCTCTTCAGTGTGTTGAAGATGGACGGTTCCATTATGTAATCCCGCGTGGAGAATTTGTGCAGACACTCCTGCTGGACCTCAGCGTCATCTTCTCCCTCCCCGTCGTCCTCCTCCTGCTGTGGGGACATGCCGTGAGACAGGCCTCTCTCACCAAGACAAGCATCCTGCAGCGAGCTCGCCTTGTCGCCGGGACTAGAGAGCTCAGTCGTACACAGGACGCGCTCATGTGACAGAGCAGAGGTACCCCTTTGGGTTTCCGAGGCCGTCATCTTTGCAGGGGCAGAGCACCCCGTCTCAGTTAGAGCTGAGTCCCTCACATGACACCAGCAGGGCTTCTGGTTCCTACTGGAAACCATGTCCCCTGGTCTGTTTCTCAAGTCTCACACACACACTCCTCATGTGACTTCCACAACCAGTTCAGGGAGTGGACGGGCACTGTCCAGCTCCAACACTGGCATCGATCTGTGTACCTTTACTATGTACTAAACACTGTGCTGTCACCAGAGACATAAGAAAACTGGACAAGACATGGCTTTGTCCATCCAAGTTGTTCAGACTATGGAGGAAGACAGGACTTACTCTAGGAGAATGGAGTAAGAACTGGGTCAGGGATCAGCAAACTACAACCCAGGGGCAACTCCATTCCTCCCAAATTTTGTTAAGAAAGTTTTATCAGAACACAGCCACACCCATTCTACTATTATGTCAATCATCACAACTCAACCAGTAAATGACATCATGATAATTAGGGAAAAGATCAAACTTGTCAAGGATTTCATTTGACTTGGATTCAAAATCAAAGCTAATGGAAGCGGCAAACAAGAAATCAAGTGGTAAATCTGCTGCAAAAAACCTGTCAGTTTTAAAGAGCAAAGACGTCACTTTGAGGATTAAGGAGCACCTGACCCAAGCCATGAGCTTTTCAATTGTCTTAGATGCATGTGAAAGCTGGACAACAAATAAATACAACTGAAGAATTAATGCATCTGAATTAGGGTACTGGCAAAGAATACAGAAAGTTCCATGGACTGCCAGAAGAACCAACAAATCTGTGTTGGAAGAGGTAGAGCCAGAACGTTCCTTAGAAGGCAGGATTAGAGACTTGGTCTCTTGTACTTTGGACATGTTAACAGGAGGGGCTAATCCCTGGAGAAGGACATCATGCTTGATAAAGTATTCTTGTTGTGAAGTGTCATCAAGTCAGTTCCGACTCAAGTGACCATGTATAGGGTTTCCAAGGAGTAGTTGGTGAATTTGAACCACAGACCTTGTGGTTCAAACTGACCTTGCGGGTCCAGTGCTTTATGCCATAATGCCACACCAATAAAGGAGAAGTTTCCTATTATTACAATGGGTTCAAACACAATTCTGAGGATGACTCGGGACTGGGAAGTGTTTTGTTCTATACAAAGCTGTTGGAAGTTGGAACCCCTAACAACATATATATACAAACACTGGGCAATGAGTAAGGAAGAACGAAGAATGGATGCATTTGAATTACAGTGCTGGCGAAGATTCTTCAATATACCATGGGCTGCGAGAACAAACACATGGGTCTCAGAAGTACAACTAGAATGCTGCTTAGAACAAGGCACGACCAGGCTTTGTCTCCTGTACTCTGGACATGTCATCAGGAGGGACCAGATCATACTGGGTAAAGTGGAGGGTCAGTGAAAAAGAAGCAGACTCTCAATGAGATGGACTGACACAGTGGCTCCAACAATGGGCTCAAACAGAGCAACAACCATGAGGAAGGCACAGACTGGGCACTATCTCGTTCTGTTGTACGGAGGGGTTGCTGTGAGTCAGAAACCATGCCACGGCACCTAACCACCCCCACCACAATGCTTCCCCATTTCTGCAGCACAGGTGAGTAGCTGCCACAGAGACCTGCACAGCCTAAAATATTTACCTCTGGTCCTTGTCACAAAAGCTTGCCCATCCGTGGTCTAGTCTACCATTCTGAAAAAAGAATACTGAACAAGCCGTGGATTGTCTTAAAAACACAACCAGAACAGTGCTGAGACGCAAAGATGCAGAGACGTGGGGTGCCAAACCAGGGGCTTTGGGAGCAGATGAAGTATGGTGCCTTCATGGGGAGACTGGGTGTCTCCTACCAGACCACATTTGGGGGGAGCCTTGAGCAAGGTTCCCCCCAGTGACTCATCTGCCATGTTTGGACTTTCTGACCACCATCACATCTTCTCTTGGACAAGCTCCCTGCTCATAAACCTAGAGCTGAGCCTGGGCCTCTCTCCTGGGCTCCAAACTCAAGTATTAACAGTCTATTTGCATTTCGACTTGGATGTTCTGCTAGTATTCCAAAGTCACTGGGTTCAAAACCAGCCCCATCTCAACCCTGAAGACAGCTCTTCTTCCTACAGCCTTGTTTTAATACAGGATTCCATCACTGACCTGCTACCCTGAGGCCAGAAAGGGCACTCCACCCTCAGTTCTCCTCCCCCACCCCCCCATCTGGTCCTACCATCAAGTCTCTCTGGCACACATCCAGGCAGTCCGGCCCCTTCTCCACATTCGCCTCCAGTTCTTTAGCCTCTGCATGTCTGAGACAGTACCCACACTCCTTTATTGCCAGACTGAGCGATCTGCAATTCCGCAGCTCTTGGCTTCTGAGCCCTACATCCCAGTCAACACCTTACACATCAGCTGGCCTCCAAGGAGGGACATGGAGTCCCGTGCACAATGCGAGACAAAAACTGGCCTACCACTGCCTTTCGGAATTCAGCTCGAGTCATGCCCCCTCCCACCTGCCTGGACGCCTTCTCCCTCCTCCACGCAGACTCTGCATGTGAACTGAACCCAGGGCCATCTCTCATCAAGGAGAGGTCCACGAGGACCAACGAGCCAAATGGAGGGGAGTGGGGAGGATCCCAAGGAAAGCTCTCTCTCAGCGGGGCCCTGACGCTGCTCTGCCCCTCTCACCTGGGTAAGCTCAGGTAAGTTTGTCGTGCGCTGTCTTCAGTGAGCCACCGGATTAGCTGACCCTGAAGACATGCCCCAGTTCTAACACTCTGACCTGATGGCTCCATGTGCCAACAGGACACTGACCAGGATGCCTCAATCAAACCAGCACTAAAACCCTATGTTTCTCTCGCTTGGACCAAGTGGCAACGGAGAGGGTGTGGGTTTGGAGCCTCACACCCCCATTTATAAGTTCAGTGACCTCGGGCGGGTCACCAAGTCTGTGTCTCACTTTCTTGGTTGTGGAACGAAATAATGCAGGAAGGCCCCCTGCACCCCAGGCTCTAAAGACCTTAGTGGATACACACTCTTAATTGCTCCCCTTTTGTGGAATGAACCTCTCATGCTGCCCCTGCCCTTAACTCAAAGATGTCACTCTTCGGCGGAAGGCTTCCAGGAACTTGCTCCCTACTGTGTATGTCCTGTTACTGTATCGACGACATTTTAGCTCTAGGTTCACACCACACATCCTTCCATCTTTGTCCCACCACCACCGGCTTCCAGTGATGACAACCGCAATTCATCCTTCCTTCAAAAGAGTCACTCAATCAATAGAGACAGTCCCTGACTTACCTAGGGCACTGTTCCCATGAGTCTTTTATAAACTGGTTCTGACCGTTAAGTCAAGTACATCATTTTCTGTGTTGTTTGGTGGGGTTTGTTTTTATTTTATTGCCTTTCATTGTCTCTATCTTTATAAATCTGATCTTTGTCTCTGGGGGTTGGCAAGAGCCATCAGTCCTGGTCTAGAACTGTGGGATAAAGCACTGGACTGCAAGGTCGGCTTGAACCACAAAGCTGGCAGTTCAAACTCACTAGCCACTCCTTGGAAACCCTACACAGGGCATTCAGTAGGAATCCACTCCATGGCACTTACCAAGCAAGGGCAATGAGAATCACAGATAACATCAGCAAATTGCAGGCTGCAACACGGCTGCCAACTCCCGTATTACTAATGATTGTTGGCAACTGCCACCGAGTTGGTTCCGACTCATGCGACCCTGTATAGCAAAGAGGCTGGTGAGTTCGAACCATCAAACTTGTGGTTCAAACCAAACTTAGGTCAAGTGCTTATCTTAAAATGCCACAAAAACACACTCAAAAATCTCTGGTGGGAGTGCCGTTTATCCTAACTCAAATGTATCCTAAGTTGAAATCAAACTGTATTTCCCAAAGGTGAACTCATCATTGGGATCCTTACGAACAAGAGCAATTCCCAGGTTCCACTCGAGTCTCGGAGGGAGCTCTGGTAGCGAATTGGTTACGAATCAGACTGCGAACCGCAAGGTCAGCAGTTCGAAACTACCAGTTCCATGGGAGAAAGATGAGGCTTTGTGCTCCCGTAAACATTTAGAGCCTCGGAAACCCTGTCCAAGGTCGCTGAGTCGGAACCGACTCCATGGCACATAACCACCACCACCACCAGAGACTCGGGGGCAAAGAGGGGTGAGACGCTGGAAGCACAGTCCTCATTGTGAGTCTTGACGCGAGAACCACGTCTATGCTTTAAATCCCTAGGGGACAATGGCCCTGGTGGCGCGACGGTCAAGCACCTGGCTGCTAACAGGGACCCTGTGGGCAGTCTCTGTCACGTGGGGGGTTGGTGGCTCTAAGGGAACCAGGACTGACCTGCTGCACCCACCCCAAAGCCAAGTCCGCCCCGGCCCAAGTGCCAGTCATGTACGAACGCCAAAGTTGTACTGTTCTGCAGAATGCTGACAGGGAGTTTCGGAATCTGCATTTTGTTAAGGACCCGGGAGCCTCTCGGTCCCGCCCTCTGAGTTGGAGCCTGCGCTGCGCCGGGCCCGCAGGAGTGGTCACGTGGTGTCATGCGTAACCCGGGGAAACTGAGGCAGACGCGCTGCAGGAGCCTCCCCGGTCCCCCTGGAAGTGAAGTGCGGGGACGGAGGGCCCTTGGGGGGCAGTGGCGTGTGGGGGGCGGCCAGGCCCGGTAGCCGGGGGTGTGGCCGACGGAGCGGGCTGTGCTTGAACCACTCGGTGACCACGCGGACCGGCCCGCCAGCGACGGACACGAGCAGTCCTCGTCGGGGGGCTCCCCCCCTCACCTGGCCGCCGTCCGCCTCGTCGCCCCACTCGGCGGCGTTCCCGAAGTAGTCCTCTTCGGAGATGGCGCCCGGAGCGGCCCCCGCCATACTCTCCACGAGCGAGCGCTGCGCATGCGTGCGACGGGGACGGACGGGCGAGCGCACGCGCGGCCCCGCCCCCCGCGGCCGCGCGCCTGGCTCCGGATTGAGGGGCGGGGCCTGTGGCAGGGGCGGGGCCGCTGGGCTTTAGTCAGGACCCGGGGCTGCGGATCGCTTAATTGTAGCTCCGAGTTAGCCAGAGCATGCTGGGGCGGTACTCCGGGCCCAGGGACCTTCTACTTGGAGTTTGCCTGGGTCCTGGAGACTTTAATTCCAGTAGAAGTTTAGAACGGGACTCAGACTGGCCTATGTTCAATTCCAGTTCTTCCCTTTCTTCACTTTTGACTCTTGCAGTGGTAGTTTCTTCACTACTGAACATTGTATCAAAGCCCCACAGAGTGTCCTATGATGTGATCTTCACGGGAGTGGATCCTCAGGTCTTTCTCCCAGGGAGCCACAGGGTGGATTGGAATCACCAACCTTGCCGTTAGAAACCAAGTGCCTAACCCCTGTATCACCAGGTGTCTTCCCATCAGGTACAGAGGCCACGAACACGTTTTAATGTCTTTTAAAATCAGAAGAAAAAAAAACATAATAATTAATCCTGCCTGGATTATATTTGTATAAATGTAATTGGTATAAAAATATTAATGCAGTCATAAAATATAGTTTGCAATAAAATTTCAAAACTTTTCATTATGAAGTGACTGAAGGTTTACAGAGTAAATCATTTTTCCATTCAACAGTTCATACACATTTTGTTTCATCTCATTGATTATAAACTCCACATGGCATGATTTATCTCCTTTCTTCCCTCTGTTTCCTGTTTCCATTCTTCCTTCTTTCCCGACCCTTCTGAACTTTGTCCCTGGATAAATGCTACCCTTTTGATCACAGATGACTAATTATTCTAAGGTATGTGGACCTCTCTAGTGTTACTGTTAGCCTTATTGCTTTTGTTGTTAAGTGCCTTTGACTTGGCTTCAACTCATAGTGACCCTGTCTAAGGCTTCCTGAGGCTGTCAATCTTTATGGGAGCAGAAACCCTCATCTTTCTCCCATGGAGCAGCTGGTAGTTTTGAACTGCTGACCTTGTGGTTAGCAGCCCAACTCGTAACCCCTATGCTACCGTAGACTGGTATGTTCTTTGGCTGAAAATGGAGCCATGGGCATGAGTTTAGTTTCAGACCTGAAGGGTAACCAAGGACCGTAGTCTCCAGGGTTTCATCAGGTTTTTTTAAAAGTTTTGTTTCACCTTTTTCTGGTGCACTCTTTTCCTGATTTTAAAACGTTCAGTATCTCTTTGGTCTGTTCAAACGACTGCCTTTTGGTCTATGTACAGGTTCCTCCTGAGTACAATTAAGTGTTCTGGAATATCCATTCTTTGCAATGTTATCCATAGTTTGTTATGATTCATATGGTCGAATGCCTTTGTATAGCCAATACAGCACAAGTAAACAAACATCTTTCTGGTATTCCATGTTTTAACTAACAGCCATCTGACATCAGCAATGATAGCCTTAGTCCCACATTCTCTTTTGAATCTGGCTTGAATTCCTGACAGTTCTCCGCGAATATACTGCTGAAAATAATTTTCAATTATCTTCAGCAAAATTTTACTTGTCTGTGGTATTACTGATATTGTTCTAAGATTTCCGCATTCAGTTGGGTCACCTTTCTTTGGAATGTGCACCTATATGGGTCTCTTCTAATCATTCAGCCAGGTATCTATCTTCCAAATTTCTTGGTATAGATGAGTGAGCCCTTTCATCGCTGCACAAGTTTGTTGAAACATTTCAATTTGTACTCCATCAATTCCTGGAGACTTGTTTTACAACAATGCCTTCAGTGCAGCTTGGACCTCTTCCTTCTATACAGGTGGTTCTTTGTTAAATGCTACCTTTTGAACGTTGAGAAGCTAAAGCTACTGGAATAAATGAGGCAGTAAAAGATCTGAAACAAAAATTTCGAAAGGCAGCTTGAGAAGACCAAGTAAAGTATTTTAATGAAATGTGCAATGACCTGGAGTTAGAAAATCAAAAGGGAAGAACATGCTCAGCATTTCTGTTTGTCAGCCCTGGCCTTGTTTAGGAAGATGAGTTTCTCCACTGTCTTTTTCCACAGGTGGGATCAATTTGATTCCTGCGCATTCCATCTGGGGAGGTCCAGGTATATATTAAATTTTGAAAAAAGGTATTTGTAGTGAAGAAGTCATTGGTCTTGCAAAGTTCTATCATGCGATTTTCAGGATTGTTTCTCTCACCAAGGCCATAGTTTCCAAATACTGATCCTTCCTCTTTGTTTCCAACCGTGTCAGTCCAGTCACCAGTAATACCAATGTATCTTGATGGCATGTTTACGCAATTTCAGACTGAAGAAGTTGATAGAATTATTCAATTTTATCATCAGTAGCTTTAGTGGTCTGGTCGGTGAGTAAATTTGAATAATAGTGGTATTAACTGGTCTTCCTTGTAGGAATATGGATATTATCACAGACAGCATTATACTTCAAGAGAGATTTTGAAATGTTCTTTTTGACGACGAATGAAACACCATTCCTCTTAAAATTGTCGTCCCCAGCATAGTAAATTATATGCTTGTCTGATTCAACATGAACAGTGCCCATCCATTTCAGCGTACTAGGGCCTAGGATATCTATCAATCCATATACATTCCATTTCATTTTTTGACAACTTCCAATTTTCCTAGATTCATACATCATACAGCCCATGTTCCAATTTTTAATGGATGTTAGCAGCTGTTTCTCCTCATTTTGAGTTGTGCCCCATTAGCACCTGAAGGTCTTTCTGAAAGCTTTACTTCATCCACATCATTAAAGTCAACTCTAATTTGAGGAGACAGCTCTGTCCCAGTCATAGTGTGAGTGCCTTCCAATCTGAAGGTCTTATCTTCTAGCATTTTATTAGACAGTGTTCTGGGGTTGTCCATACGCTTTTCAGTAGCTAACCATTCAGAGTGGGCTGCCTTGCCTTCTTCCTAGTCTAGCCGCTAAAACCTGTCCACCATGGGTGACCCTGCTGGTATTTAAGTTATCAGTGGCATAGCTTCCAAAATCCCAGCAACACACAAGCCACCACAGTATGACAAATGAGCAGACAAGGAGTGGTTTGTTATTGTTGTTAAGTGCCATTGAGTCGATTCCGACCCATAGCGACCTTGTATAGGGTTTCCAAGGAGCAGTTGGTGAGCTTGAACCGCCGACCTTGCAGTTCAAATTAGCTGAATGTATTAATCATTTCTCTCCTACTACTCAGAGTAGTCTTGGTGTGGCACTGTGGGTTAATGCCCCGGACTGTAAAGCTGTGTGAACTGCAAGGTTGGTGGTTCAAGCTTACCAGCTACTCCTCGGAAACCCTATACAGGGTTGCTATGGGTCGGAACTGACTCAACGGCATTTAACAACAACAATCAGAAGGTGAAGGAGTCCTGGTATGGCGCTGGTTAATGTGCTGGACTGCAAAGGCAGTTTGAACCTCAAGGTGGGTGGTTCAAGCTCACCAGCTGCTCCCTGAAAACTCTATACAGGGTCACTGTGAGTAGGAACTGACTCAAAGGCATTTAAACAACAACACAAAATCAGAAGGAGGAGTTCTGGTATGGCACTGTAGGATAAGCACTCAACAACAAGGTTGGTTTGAACCTCAAGGTTGGTGGTTCAAATTCACCAACCGCTCATCGGAAATTGTACACAGGGTTACTGTGGGTCGGAACCAACTTGACGGGACTTGACAGGTGCTTAACAACAATCAGAAGGAGGAGTCCTGGTGTGGCGCTGTGAGATAAGTGCTGGGCTGAAAGGTTGGTTTGAACCTCAAGGTCAGTAGTTCAAATCCACCAGTCACTCCTCAGAAACCCTAGACAAGGTTGCTATGAGTCGGAACCGACTCAACGGCACTATTCAAAAACAACATCGAGAGGGAAAGGAGCCCTTGTAGTGTAGCAAATTACAAGCCGGGCTGCTAACTATAAGGTCAGCAGTTCAAATCTACCAGTCTCTCTGTGGGAGAAAGATGAGGCTTTTTGCTCCTGTAAAGATTTACAGCCTCGGAAACTCTATACAGGGTCATTATGAGTCAGAACTGACTCCATGGCACATAACCACCACCACCTCCAGTCAGAAGAAGGAATCGTGGTGTGGCGCTGTAGGATAGCCACTAGACCACAAGGTTGATTTGGTTCAAACCCAACAGCCACTCCTCAGAAATCCTCTACACCGTCACTATGAGTTGGAACCAACTCGATGGCACTTCACAATAACAACTAACATGAGTTTTAGAGGGGTGTAATTCAATCCTGAACGTTGGATGGGATTGGTATACTGGTAAAGTAGGTGACCCAGGAGGAGGGCAGGTTTCTGCAGGGGACAATAATGAGTTCAGATGGGGACACACAGACTTGGAGGTGAGGAGCCCGCAGAATGCCCAGCTGGAGATGTCTTGCAGGTGCTCCCAAGTGGAAGTCTTGGTCTCCAGATTCAATGACTCTAGCTGCAGTTTCTGTTCACATGATTAAAGTGTCCCAATGAAGTAAATGAGTCCCCTGCTGTTGGCTTCATTCAAGGTTCATTTTCATTTGCTTTCTGAATAAGCTGAAAGAATGGATGCCTGTTAAACTCCTACCACCTCTTGGAGTTTGGTTTTGTTTTTGTCTTTTTACAACAGTGTTTGAATTGAAAGAAGGCAAATTAATATATGTGTAACTAACTGCTCCTACAAAATCAGGATTATTTCATTTATCTCTCCCTCAACCCAAAGGTTACTTCTTTCAATGGATTAACAAACAACCTGTAATGAAATCATTCCATTCAAGTCTATAAGTCACAACAATTTAGAATAATTGGGTCTATGGGTCTTGTCTCCTAAGATTCTTTCGTCCTGTTGTTTTTGAAAAAGACTTCTACAGAATGCCTAAATTAGCTTGTTTTACTTAAAAGAAACACTCCATAGCCATTTAAAATATGTTCCTGTTTAAGAGAAATCCATGATTCAGTCCAGAGCCTGGGATACAAATGAGAGGCAGAAACACAGCCTGCCTGGTGTAATCTCAGGAAAGAA